GGTAATGGCGGAGCGGCGTTAGGCAACCCGGCGGGCAGCCGTGCTCCACGGGACTGCCTATAGCCGACTCTGCAGGCTGAAGGACTGAGGGGTTTCGGAAAAGGACCTCAGTGGACCAGAGGACCGGAGCAGGTTTGAGCACCAGAGTTGCTGAATGGGACTCGAACCGAACGTGTGACCCTACCAATGGATTGCTCTCCGAACGAGGAATCGATTGATGGGGTCACACGCTCTGACCGCGTCCCGTTTAGCGACTCTGGAGCTCAAAACGCGTCCACAGTTTTGGCCGCCTCCACCGGCCTTCTGGCCCACTGTGCACCTTCCTCTCTTTCTTCTTGGTGCAAGTCGTTCTGGCGGTGCCGTTGCCGGACCGCGGCGCCCGGGGCGAGTCAAATCGACTGGCGACAAGCAGGACAAGCAGGCCGTGGCGGCGGTGCTCCGCGGAACGGGACGCCGAATCCGCGGACGGCGGTGCGGCACGGTCCGGCCTGGGTCACCGAGGACCTGCCCTGCCCTGCCCGCCGCGCGGCCATCCCTCTCGCACTCACCGCGCGTTCCGAGTCGGTGCGAGAGAGACAGAGCGACGAAAGCGACTCTCGGAATCGGTCCGCAGCGGGCGGCACAAAGGAGAATAGCGCGGGGAAAGGCAAATAAACGTGGACGCCCATGGCACCGCCGACAGGCCGACAGCCTACACCGGCTCGCCAGCGGAACGTCACGGCACCATGCAGGCCTCGGTGCAGGCGGACAGCGCCGCCGTGCACTCGTTGGCGTGCGCGCGGCGCCGCGGACGTGCCGTGCCGCCGTGCCCGGGACACGGGCGTGTCACCAGTGCAGCCGCAGCCAGGCGGCAGCCAGGCGGCCAGGGGGTCGTTAGGATAGCGGGAAAGGCGGCGATGACGGGGGCGTGGCGCGGCCCGGCTGCCAGCCCTGCCAGCCCCGCCAGGCGACACCCTCGTGCTAACTGTTCGCTGCGGTGCGCTGCGGTGCAGTGCCCATCATGGTGTGCTTGGAGCGCGGCGGCGCGGCCCATAGTTCTACCTGGCATGTCCGTCCGTCCGCCGCGGAAGCCGCCAACGACACGGCGATGGCGCCCCGGCGGCAGACGGCCAGACAGCGGTACCGTACCGCTTCATCGTGACCGACAGGCCGCGGCCCTCCGCGTCACAAACGCACCGCCGCCATGGCGTGCGTGTTCGTTGAACGGCCCCAAAAGGTTCCACGTGCGGGAGGGTGTTGAAACAACCTCCAGCCGCGCCACGCCGCCTGGCGGGGTCGCTGGGTGTGGACGCATCGAATTACTCGCGTTTTACACGCCTACTTAAAAGGTGCCAGGTGCTCGACCATGTGGGCGCGAGGCGCGAGCTCGCGATGAGCCATCGGCTTGTGTCGATGCGTGGTTGGGCTGCCGACTGTTCCGAAAGATGGTCTCGTCGCTCTGTCTCTCTCGCACCCTTACGGGGCGCCCCGTGAGTGCGAGAGAGACAGCGCGACGAAGCGATCGTTTGGAAGCAGGCGGTCTCCAGCGAGGCGCTTTGCCTCGCCGGCCGGTCGCTGGCTGACCTTGGCTCGCCTTGGCGCCGCGGCGCAGCGCGCAGCCTCCTCCCACTCGATTAGGGCACCTTTCGCGCGGATCCATTCATGCCGACTGCAGCTGTGCCATTCCGCACGGCGTGCCGACCGTCTGTCTCTCTCGCGCCGCCACCCGACGTGCCATGAGTGCGAGAGAGACGGGGCGACTGTTCCGGAGTCGGCCTGCAGGCAGATGGCATCACGGCACTGCGGCGTCCACTATGCGCTGGCGTCCGATGCCGCTTCCTCCGCTGCATCCACCGCAATGCACGCCGTGCCACGCCGTGGGCCGAGGACGCGCGCACCGCGAGGCCAGCAAACACGCTCCACTAAAAAGAAAAAAAAAACCACTGCGTGATGAATTTTACAAAAACCCATCTTCGTTGAAAAAACTGCCGATGAACCCGTAGAATTAAGACGCAGCCGTGTTGGGGTTGCGCAATTTGCCATCCGAGTGGCGGGCGATGGCGAGCATTGCTTGCAGCGGCCACTCTGCTCCGCGTAATTTGATCGACGTGATGCAGCGCGTGATGGAGCACTCCCTTCGCCGTCGTCGCGACCCTCTCACGCCCTGGCGGCCTGCGGACTCATTCCGACAGTCGCTCTGTCTCTCTCGCACTCATGGAGCGTCCCGTATCGGTGCGAGAGAGACAGAGCGACGTAAACGACTCTCGGAGTCAGTCCGTCTGCTGGGCCTGGCTGGGCCAGGGTATGCCCGATCGCTATGTGGCACCAGTCCGCCGATGGCCGGTGTCGACACCGCAACGACCTGCCTTGTACGGCGATCTATCATAGGACTCGTCCGCGAGGAGCACACCGTCGCCACCACTCACCCCGCATGTGTGTCAACGTGTGTGTGTGTGTGTGTGTGTGTGTGTGTGTGTGTGAGCGTTGTGCCGCGGAGCGTGTGGGCGATGCGCGGCGCGTGCGTGCGTGTTTGAGTTTGCGTGCGCGAAATAAAGGCCACCGGAAAACGTGTGCAAACGGACCGAATTCCGCGCCTCCACTCGACCTCAGCGCGGCGCTCTGGCGGCGCTGCTGCACCTGCGCGGCGCGTCGCGGTCGCCGTCAAGCAGCCGCCTCCATTCCGAAGCATCTGTCTCTCTCGCTCCGCAAGGGAGCACTCCATGAGTGCGACAGTAGACAGAGCGACGGATCTTCGGAATCGAGCGGCGCAGTCCATCACTCACGCGGTGGCGGCGGCTTGGCGGCGGCCAGGCCGTGCCCCCGCGGCTCCCGGTTGCTCCTAGTTACGCGACGACGCCGCGCTGCTCGTCACCTTTGACGTAACGGCGGCGCGGCGGCGGGCTTGGGCTGCTTGAGCACACAGTCCTTTGCCTGGCGCGCCGCGCTTCTCATCCTTGCCATTTCCATTTTTCCCATGGCGTCTCGCGGCGCTGCTGGGGGACGACGACGGCGCGCCACTGGCAGCGGCGTGGAGGAGGAGGAGGATGAGGATGAGGAGGAGCGCCGCCGCACAGTGGGCGGCCATAACTCTAGACGCGTTTCGATCTCCAGAGTCGCCAAACAGGACTAGAATCGAACGTGTGACCCCACCAATGGATTCCTCGTTCGAAGAGCAATCCATTGATGGAGTCACACGCTCGGTTCGAGTCCTATTTAGAGACTCTGGAGCTCAAAACGCGTCTAGAGTTTTGGCCGCCTCCACCGGTCTTCTGGCCCACTGTGCGCCGCCGCGACACGCCGCGACACGTTCGTTAGGGAATATCTGCACTGCACTGCACGTTGATTCCGATTCCGGACAGTGTGGTTCGCTGCTGTCTCTCTCGCACCCCTGCGGGGCGGCTCGTGAGTGCGACAGAGACAGAGAGACGCAGGGCACTGTTCGGGATCGGGCCGCTGAAGGGCAGGATTGAGGCTGAGCCGCGGCGGCGCGTTCAGCAAGAGGCGACGCCGCGATGCGTTGGGAAGCGAGTTTCACCTTCGCGTTCACGGCGTGCCGGGCAGCAGGCTGATTCCGAGAGTAGCTTGCGTCGCTGTGTCTCTCTCGCTCTCGCGGAGCGTCCCGTACAGGTGCGAGAGAGACAGAGCGACAAAAACGACTCTCGGAATGAGCACGCAGGGCGGCGCGGCAGCCAGCAAGTCGGAGTCTAGTCTCGGAGGAGCAGTGGCGTGCTAATAAGTAAAGTGGCGCCTCGCCTCGCCGTGAGGCCCTCACGCAGCACTGCGCGGCAGACTGATTCCGAGAGTCGTTTTCATCGCTCTGTCTCTCTCGCACGTGCACGGGCGTCCCATGAGAAAGAGAGAGATGGACTCTCGGAATCAGTACGCAGCGGCGCTGAAAAAGAACTCGCTTCGCTTGCTTTGCTTTCGATTAGACGGACCCACGGCTCCGCGGCCCGGGTCCAGCACACTGGTACACGGTGCCGGCCGCGCCGGTCCCACAGTCGATGTCGTTTATGTCCCCATAACGAGGACCTAAGCGTCACCACGCCGCGGTCTGACCTTGGCGACCGTGGCGTGCACTGTGCACCAGGTGTGGCACTGCCAACTGCCGAAATTAGAGGACACAGAGTCCTGCCTGGTCCCGGTCGTGTCCCCCGCGGTCGAGCCTCACACCTCCAAGTCACTGCCTTGAGAGTGTTCACGTGTTCGTGCACGTGTCGATTGGAAACCGAAGCTCTCTTCACTCCTTGCCTCGAGGTAGTCCTACTTTTGACGACGTTCCCCCCGAGTTACCCAAACAAGCCGCCACGGCCGCGGCCACCACGACCGGCAGACACCCTCCAGCCCCACCAAGCCCCAGGCCCCGTCGGGGGGCGTGACTCTGTGATGTGGTCGAGCTGTTTAGCTGACTGCCTCCACTTTGCAGCGCCACCCATGCCCCGGCGGTCGCGGTGACGCACTGCTTGGCGTCGCCAGCGTCACGATGATGAAGCGCGCCGGCAGCGTGCACATGGCGCCCAGCCTGACGCCGTCCAGGAGTCCCTCCGTCATGTCCTTCCTATCGAACCGCACGACGGCGAGCCGCGCGTCGTCGGCGGCGGCCTCCATGGCGTCCGTGGCGACCGCGCCCTCGGCCTCCTCGCAGGCGCAGACGCCACAGGGCCGGCGGCCGCCCTCCGTCAGCACGGGGCTGGGGCAGCGCGCCGGCTTCAGGCGCACACTGCGCATCAGCAAGAGGCTCACACGCCGAAGACAGCCGCTGCCCAAGGTTCGGTTCCCGGATTTCCGCTTTTCAGCCGCATTGTTTCTCTCCGGTCTTTGCAGGTGCAGTTGCATCCGTGTGATTAGGAGCCCAAAAAAAAGGGCAAGGCAGGACAGAAAACGTGGGGCGAACGCAGTTCGATCTGTGAATTTGGTTTTCCCTGTTCAGTGTCTCGACCTGCCCCCGCCAGCAGCAAGCGGCGATCCCCATCCCCCGTGTCGTGATCTAAGTGCTCATGGTTGCCTATTGCTTGTTGCAGGGGCAGAATGGCTTCGAGGAGCTGCGGAGGTACATCAAGCAGGGCGGAGACTTCTGCAAGGACCTCACCAGCATTCTCCAAGAAAGGTGAGTCACTTTTTATCTTTCTTTTCTTCTTTTTTAGGCCGGGGCAGGGGGAGTGGTGTGTGTTAATTTTAACAAGAAAAAGGGCAAAGCCTTTCTTTTTAATGTGTACAATTATTTGGTTAATGTTTACAGGGCGGAGGCTGAGCAGGTCTATGCAAAAAGTTTGGCAAAACTGTCCTCAAAACTACTCAAGGCCAGCAAGGATTCTGTTGGCTCTGTCGGCCAAGCATGGCAAAGGATAGGAACTGAAATGGAATGCCAGGGCGAAATTCACAGGTATGTATGCTGGCATTTTACCACGACCATCTAAATTTACAGTGCCTTGATCAATTTAAAAGCTTTTGTCTTTTACTCCAATTCAGGACATTCGCTGTAGCTCTAAGTGAAGAAGTAGTCAAACCACTGAAGCAGCTAGTAGACTCCCAGCACAGGATAAGGAAATCAGTGGGTATTCACTACCGATGAAATAATGAAATGTATAATCATGTTGGTTATTAGTAAGATAAATTTCTAATTTACACGTTTTTGTATTTTCCAGGTGGAGTCTTCAGTTGACAAAACAGCCAAAAGCCTCTCAGAATGGCGACAAGCAGAGGCCAAGAGTAAGAAGACATCATTTATGTGTGCTCGAGATAACGAAAAGCTGCAAGACGCAATGGTAGAGGGACGACAGTCAACCCGAGGTTCATCTCTACACTTACATCATGCAGTGCACAACAAAATGTCAGAGAAAGATGTGGCAAAGGTAGAGACAAGAAATATCTGCTATCAGTAATAACACTCAAATTTTTATTGTTTGTTAAAGAAATTTGTTGCTTTTAAATTTTTGTAGCTTGAAACAAAAAGGCGTAAAGCAGAAGATTCTGTGAAGAAAGCTGATGTGGAATATTACACATTTTGTATTCGAGCAGAAAGAGCCAGGTCAGTAAGAAATTCAAACTTCTTAAAGTTGGACAAAGATTTAAGGCCATTTATACAAATCTCTTTTTGAACTTTGTGCAGACTTGAGTGGGAGACAGCTGTTTTGAGAGGAAGCTACTGCCTGCAAGCCATTGAGGAGGAAAGGCTTCAAAACTTAAAAGAACTGGGCTCTATGTACTTGAGACACTTGAAAGAAATGGGACCAAAGATGGTGCAGGTAATTAATCAGACTAGAAAACTACAGAAATTATTCCATATCAAAATCTGGAACTAATCCAGTATATTTTTTCTAACAGAGTACAGATAGGTTGAATGAGCCAGTGCAAAACTGTGATGTGGCCACAGACATTCAAACGGTAGTTTCTTTAAAGGGCACAGGGCAGCCCCCATCAGAGCAGCTACTGCCGGATTTCTATGCTGAACATGTTACCTTGGGTATGAATAGAGATAGGCGCAAACAGGTAATAAAAAATTATGAAATTATTCGAGCCCAAAAGGCTAGACAACATTGCTTCATGTACGTATTATATTACAGGCACTTGTCAAAGTTATGCAGTTAATCAAACAAGATTTGGAAAGGGAGCGACGAAGTAAGCAAGGAGTTGAAAACCTGGCAAGAGCTCTTCAGCAGACGCCAAACTTTGGAGCAGAGGATTCACAACAAAATGTCACAGAAAAACTGCATCATGTAAGAATTAAAACCTCAGTGATGAGAAAAAGAATTTGGATGTAAGGGGAGAGCAATCTATAAGGAATATGTTTACTTTCAGATGCGGGCGATGTTGACTTATTTGGAGGCAGCAAGATACAAAGTCCAAAGCGTGCTGGCTGAGTTGGAAGGAAGACCAAACCAAGCCCACCCTTTGTCTTCACATATTATAGTTCATCGAGATAGGCAAGGACTTCAACAAAGCATACTGAAGGTCTATGTCAAACTATAATAAACCTACTGCACCAGAAATATCGAAGAAAGTATTAACAAAAATGACAATTGTATGTGTTTTGCAGGTGCCTCCCTGGGTGCGAAAGGACTCTTTAGATCAGATGAATGGAGACTCTCCAGATTGGATGGACAGAGGAGCTGCTGATGGCAATTCTGTTCAACCTGACAGTGACTTTGGTCTGTATAAAAAAAATTAATTAATTATGAACACACACACAAAAAAAAATTGACTCATTTAGCTTAATTTTTTATCCTACAGATGAATTTTCTAGCCAAGGAAGTGAAAAAGACTTTAATGGTAGCTTAATTATTTCGGAATGTGCGAGTACAACACAAGCAAGCAACAATCCCAGTGTGGGTACATGCCGTGCCCTGTATCAGTATGCAGCAAATCTTTATGATGAATTAAATTTAAATCCAGGTGAGGTTTGAGGCAAAAAAATTATAAAATGAGCTTTAATAGAAAATATTTCTAGCATTGGTATCAAATTTATGTTTTTGCTACTCTACAGGAGATGTCATCAACATTCACGACAAGCAGGATGATGGCTGGTGGCTTGGGGAGCTCAATGGCACTGTTGGCATTTTCCCTGCCACCTATGTTGAAGAAATTAAATGAAATGTAAGAAAGGAGGAAACTACCTTCAATTTCACTCCTCACACATAGTCAAATTTTTTGTGTAAAGATGAAATTAAAATGTAAAATGTTTTCCAAAGGCACTGTGAACATACTGTATATTTTGTTTGAATAGGCCTGTATCAACTGTTTCCAGAAGCAAAATCAAAGTTATGGAATGAAAGCGATTGAAAGTTGGTGTGCATTTCCATCTTACCGTAATCGTAATTGATGTAACCTTCCATACTTATGTCCTTACTTCTGACTAGAAAGTTTTATCTGTTGAATGCCTAAATTAATGTTAGTCATATGCGTTTGTCTATTGTGATACTTAAGCTTTGACAAAAAGTAGGATTTAATGAATAAAAAATACCCTACTAATGAATTTATGTGTATTACTTTGAAAAAGTATCCATTGTTAAAAATAAATCTAGTGAAATCATTTGTACATTTCATGCTCAATACTAAAAAAAAAAAAAAATATTTTTGGTAGGAATCTCATTGAATGAAAGAAAGAGAAATGTGCACAGGGAACACCTTGGTCAACCTATTCTGTACATAATAATTTTAAAAACCTTTAAGTGTAAGAATTTATAAATATAACATTGTTTTAAAATTGTTAAAATGAGTTCATAATCATCCCCCACGCATGTACTGCAAGACACCACATTTAAAAACTGGTAGTTTTCCCTCAAATACAAATGGCATCAAATTGATTTAAGAAAAGGTTTCACTAATTTCAGAAACCTCTAGAAGTTCACTGCATAATGAATGTACCTTGGTTGGTTTAACTCAGCCAGCGATTACTTTGGTTGTAGATGAGCCACAAACTGCAGAATGTCTTGTGATTCATCAAGCTTCAGCGCCAACTGCTCGAAGTTATCCAAAGTAGGATTTGACTCTAAAACTGCAAGTGAAAAAGAAACAGAGGTAAAAACCGAGATATTATAGGGAAATGAGAGTAAATATAGACGGCTTACCTTTCCATGTTTTCTTAGTTGCATTAAATAGGAATTTGATTGAGTTGGAAGGGATTGGGTCCAAAGACAGCGGGCGAGTTTTATTGTAGGATAAGAGAAACTCAATATTTTCACCATTGGCATGAAGAAGGGACACATGGCATCCAAGCATATCCTTGTACTTTTTCTTTCCTAGTTTGAAAGAGTCTAGAGCCAATCTATATTTACTTTGCTGTTGCTTTGAATCTAAAAAGTCATGGTACAGTTAGTTTTCACAAGGTTAGAGTACAGTCTGGTTTTAGAACCAGCATTCAACAGACTAGCTTGCAATGCATCCCATACCTCGAGTTAGTTCAGCAACTTCAGATTTCATCAAACCCAAATGATCAGATAAGCACTGGCATTCATTGCGCTTGTCAGCGACTACATCAAGAAGTTCTTGGCTTTTCTTTAGGAACACATCAGAATCGTTCTGACATTTATTTACTTGCGATATCAATTCATCTCTTTCAAATTTCAATTTCCCGAGCTGAGAGTGATCAAGAGCTTCTAAAGCCACAACAAAAATATTATCTTATTTTTAAACAAATCAAAGAAAAGAAATGAAAAGCAAGAGCCTAATGACAATAACTTACGATCCAGAGGGAAAAGTTGAAGAAAGAGCTTGGTCAATAAGTCGACTTTGGCAGAAATAACCTCCTGGTTCTTGGTGGACAGTTGTTGATGTTTCGAAAGTTCAGAGTTGTCGTTGAAAAGAGAGCATTCTTCGAACTCCTCGCTATGCAGTAGGACACCCTGTAACAGAGCACGAAGTTTTCCACCTATTTCCACTTCCAAATATTCAATAAACAATAAAATCGCACCATTCCGCCACAGTTTTCAAAATGATTCAAATTCAAAACATTGAATGAGGGTACCACTTTAGTCAACACTGCCACAGTCACATACTGCACACATCACTCAATGACAAAGTGTCATTTAGATCAGCTCAACTTGTTCCCTTTTCCAAAAAAATGTGGTTTCTGCATTATATTATCCATATTTCGTATTAGAGTTTTATAGTTTCCTTAGAAACGGTTTCTCGATGTGAGGATTACTGTTTCATATGTTGGTAAAATCAACGAAAGAACAAAAGACTAAGGTCACGGAAACAAAAACAAACAACACAAACAGATAGTTATAAGTTTTTCTGTGGGTCTGTTGCATTCATAGTTCTGGCGCTTAGAAACATTTTAACAGTTTCGCCTTGGGCGTTTCACCACTCTAAGCCCACAACTCAGCTGTTTTCATTCAGGGTAAGTACAGACAACACCTCTAACTTCCATCAAACAGTCGATAGTAATTTGTGTTAACCTTGACCAGTAAACTAATTACCTTCTCAGGTTGCTTATATTTTGCTGTTTTATTCGAACAATACAATAAATTTATAATTTTCCGCCCCCACCCTTCCTTTAGAGAATGTCGTCCAAGATGTCAAGCAGCAAGGAGCCACCAAAAAAGAAGGTGAAGACAGAAGAAGCATCCAGTCCTACTACTTCGAAGTCTGATACAAACTTGAAACAACGTTTGGTGCAAGATCGTAAAGAGGTTTGTTTGAATGGTTTGCCCAACAAAGCAGTTCTATCAAGTGTTGAATACTTACGGTATTTCTCTTTTGTAGACTGCACCCTCAATCCTGGAATTTAAATTTAACAAAAAACGTGTTAGAATATTATCAGAGGCTACTGATGTTTCTGAAAATTGCAAAGGTATTGCATATTGGATGTTCAGAGATGAAAGAGTTCAAGGTAAAGATCATGCACCAAAAAGAGTTACTGAATGCATTACTGTGTGGCCCGCTTCCAGTATTTTGTATTGTTTAAATTTTCAGACAACTGGGCATTTCTTTTTGCACAACGCTTGGCTCTCAAGAACAAAGTTCCACTCCATGTTTGTTTCTGCCTTCTTACGAAATTCCTTGATGGCACCATTCGCCAGTTCAAGTTCCTCCTCAAAGGTACGAATTGCTCAAATTTTGAAATACTTCAATTCATATTCACGATCCCAGTTTAAATGCTTACTGTATTTATAATTTTTTTGTTACTTCAGGCCTGCGAGAAGTACGCAAGGAATGTGAGGAATTGAATATAGAGTTTCACATGTTGTATGGAAGCGGAGCAGAAGTTATGCCGGACTTCATAAAGAAGAACAAAATTGGGGCTCTTGTAATCGATTTTATGCCTTTGCGTAATGTTATGAATTATGCTGACCAGCTGAAGAAGACATTGCCCAAAGATGTACCGCTGTGCCAGGTGCGATACATGTAGACAAAATTCAAGAGATCATTTTATATTTAAAAGTATTGTATGTTAAAATGAAATGACTTGTTGCTTTTTCAGGTTGATGCTCACAATATTGTTCCTTGCTGGCAAGCATCAGAGAAATTGGAATATGGAGCTAGAACCATTCGGCCCAAAATACATAAACAACTGCCTGAGTATCTGACTCAGTTTCCACCAGTTATCAAACATCCATACTCGGGATCACTTAAAGCAGATGTAATTTATTTGAAAAATTTAATTGAGTATGCAATTTATTTATACTTACTCTTTTATCTATCTTATACAAACTGTCTTTTGATTTAGAAAATTGATTGGGAAAAATGTGAAGCTCATCTGGAGGTAGATCGAACTGTGGATGAAGTGCAGTGGGCAGTTCCTGGATACTCTGGTGGAATTTCAACCCTGGAAAGCTTTATCAACAAAAGGCTTAAGATTTTTGGATCAAAAAGAAATGACCCAACCTTGGATGCGTTAAGCAACATTTCACCCTGGCTCCATTTTGGTAACTAAGAAAAGAAACAATTACCATATTCAAAAAATAAATATTCAGGTCATAATTGAATTATAATGTTCTTTTCAGGTCAGGTCTCAGCACAGCGGTGTATTTTGGTGGTGAAAGCTTTAAGAAGTAAACACCCAGAAAGTGTTGATGCTTACATTGAAGAAGCAATTGTCAGAAGAGAACTGTCTGATAACTTCTGTTTCTATAACCCTAAGTATGACAGTATTGAGGGTACCAATGAGTGGGCAAAGAAGACGCTGAATGATCATAAGTGAGCACCTCTTTGAACTGTACTCTGACTCGTACCAACTTTACCAAATCATGTAACTTACTTACATTTTTTAAATATTTGTCAGGAAGGACAAAAGACCTTACTTGTACTCTCGGGAAGAGCTGCAGAATTCCAAAACGCATGACGACTTGTGGAATTCTGCCCAAATTCAGCTTGTGAAGGAAGGCAAAATGCATGGTTTTCTAAGAATGTACTGGGCAAAGAAAATTCTGGAGTGGACTGAAAGTCCAGAGCAGGCTCTTTCTGATGCCATCTATCTTAATGATCGCTACAGTCTTGATGGACGAGACCCAAGTGGATATGTTGGTAAGGGATGATGCCTGATGCGCCTTCTGTATTGTTGCTATGTTCATAATCTTAACCTTGCCCTCTGTTGCAGGTTGCATGTGGTCCGTTTGTGGTATACATGACCAAGGGTGGGGAGAAAGAGATGTGTTTGGGAAAATTCGCTACATGAATTATCAAGGATGCAAAAGGAAGTTTGACATTGCTGCCTTTGTCTCTCGCTATGGTGGCAAAGTTTACACAAAATCTTCAAGCACACTGGACAAGTTTGTCTCAAAGGGTAAAAAGAAGTAGCATGGCAAGGTATCTTGAAGCATCCACTGATTGTAGTACAAATAGATCATAGAAGGAGGAAACTGTAACACTGTGATTGTGTACCTGCACCTATTTATACTCTTATCAGTTAAGTTTTGATCCAAACTGTTATTACTTTTCTTCGTGTTTTATTTAACAAAACAAACTGTTATCTACGGGTGGTAATAATTACTTAATCTTGTCGAGCTTTGTAGTACATGTACTTTTTTAACTTTGTGTGACCAATCCAAGTATTATTTTAGTTTTTTACAAATCAATAATTTGAAATAAAATAATTCTCACTTGAATTGAAGTGTTGACACCTCCTTTGAAACCATGAAAATATGAAAGAAATGTCACCAACATATGGAGCAGTCACGCGCACGCATACACCAGACCCAGGGTGACAGAAGCGCCCATTACGTAGGCAGCTCATCGGACACTTCATGGCATCCAGGTAGAAAGACATACCAGGCAAGGGATTCAAAAGGCTCGTTTCATTGCTGAGTCTCTTTCACACCCACCTTGTCTAGAGAGGCAGAGAAAGGCATTCGAGGGAAAGAAATAACCCCCGTTAAGTACGAAAGAAGTCATATATTTGCTAAGATATTATTAAAACTCGAGAACAATATTTCACAGCACACTCATGCTGTTTGCAAGAAGTCATGTAAATAGGAACTAGAATTAAATATCACAAGTGATGTTATTTGCATCACATAAAAATATAAAATTGAACATAAATAATTCACAGCATACTGTTGCAGTTTGCAAGAAGTCATAGGATAAAATTAAACGTCACTAGATCTACTTAATATTCATCACATAAACACATATTAAATTCAACAGAATAATTCACAGCACACTGTTGCAGTTTGCAAAAAGTTTCATACTTTTTAGTCCTCTTCCCGTATTTCAACATCACATTCAACATGTAAAATATGATCGCTCAGTGTCCATTCCATTGTGTTCTTCTCCACTTCTTGTTCAATAGGTTTAATAGGATCACTGAGTGTTCTGTCTGCATCTTGCAAAAGTGGTGACACAGGCATGTCTATAACCATTATATCTTCGTCTACAGCAACGGTTTCTTCAGACCCAGCATCAGATGGCACTTCGCCAATTCCTTGAAAGAAATCTTTCTCAAAATTGTTGAGTTTGTCCAGGGCATGATAGGAGTGCCTATTCGTTATATGCGCGAGGCCAGCAGGCGGTGACTGCGCTGTTTCCATTGTAAATCTGCAATTGGAGAAGGAATGCAAAATAAATAGTCTCTTGAAAAGCGTGCACATATTAAAGACTAGTTTTTGATAAAAACTCACTTTGGTGCCTTGGTTGGGATTGCACTTCTGGCCAAGCGACCACTTGGAAGGTAGCAGTCCTTCTCAAAATGGTCTTCACACAACATTGTTCCTGTCTCGTATTTTGTTGTCCAGCCATGACTGCGATTGCACTTTTTCACGAATGATACCCAATGTTCTCTTACATTATCTTCAACAGGAAATCTGAGATAACAAGATATCAGGAGAGCTATAAACAGCCTGAAGATATATTCAGGAAAACGTGTAGGCATGCGACGAGGTTATGGTTCAGTTCAGACTATCAACAAACTTACTTGTGATGCCTCATTCCCGAAGTCTTCTGATTTTTGAAATCCCTATTTTTGCAAGCTAAAAGCACGCAAAATTTCGGCATGTTGAACTAATTTAGGACATAGGTGTCATTGTTTAGCAAAAGACGTATGTCAGTTGACGTTAGGCTCTCTATTTGATGGTTACCCTCGCCTGATGGCGTCGTCTGCTGCGTGCTCGTCCCGCCGCAGCAGACGACGCAGCAGACGACGCGCCGAGCACGGCAGCACGGTTTTCGTGCCCCGCCTCGGGAAGGCGCAGTTCAGGGGAGATGTCGCAAAAGTTGCCTACCTACAGGGGCTAAGTGCCACTAGTTGCCTACCTTTCAGGCGGATCAACCCCCCCCCCCCCCTGGATCCGCGCCTGGGCTGGGGAAAAGCTTTGACAAGCTTTGACCGCAGCTAGCTTGGTAGCAATAGCCTTGCAACAACGGTCACAAGTCGATTGAATCTCCAAAAGTATGATTGTCACTGAGTCGGATTATGTCTGACTAACTAGAAGTACGCTGATTATCTCGCGATGGTTACCCTTTGCGTGCCGCCGGCGCCACCGCCAGTCAAATCATCGGCGGCGCGCCGCAAATTTTGAGTCAGCGCCGGCGGCGCGATAAACTTTGTCGGCGGTGCGACGACATAGACGGACAGACAGACAGACAGACCATTCAATTCAATTCGTATTTATTGAGAAAAACTTACAGAAAAACAGACAGAAAGACAGACAGACACACGGACGGACGGACGGACGGACAGACAGACAGCAGACGGACAGACAGACAGGCAGCAGACGGACAGACAGACAGACAGACAGACAGACAGACAGACAATTCAATTCAATTCAATTCAATCAATCAATTCAATTCAATTCGTATTTATTAAGAAAAACTTAAACAAGGCACTTACAGCTAGAAACATTAACATAGTAATAAACTGCCTAAAAATAGAAAAAGACAACCCCTAAGCATGACTGCTTGTCAGGGGTGGATTTACTGTCTTTCTGTCATAACAAAACAATAAAAACAAACAAACAAAAATCTTTTACAAACAAAAAAAATCTTTTACAATTTAAACTCCACCTTTCTTTTTGTTATTTAGATTTTTAAATTGTTTGCACTTAAAAAATATTGTTTTAATTTTGTTTTCATGGCACTTTGACTATTTATATTTCTTAAATCTATTGGCATTTTATTTAGTATTTTTGGCACGACCACCTCTGTCAGTCTATCACCATACTTATTCATACCTATCTTATATTGGAAACTCTCATTTCTTGTTAAGTATCTATGTTGCACTATATTTCTAAACTCTTTCTTAAAATAATTTCTTTTTAAAACTTTTAATTTGTAACTTACAAATTCTCTAATGTTAAAATAGTATTTGGTAATGGAACTCTTTGCTTTTTCTTCACAATCTTTACAGCTCTCTGCTGTAATGATTTAATGGGGAGCAAGTTTGTATCCGAGGCAGATCCCCACACTTCAGACAGACAGACAGACAGACAGACAGACAGACAGACAGACAGGCAGCAGACGGACAGACAGACAGGCAGACAGACATACAGACAGACATACAGACATACAGACATACAGACATACAGACAGATAGAAAGACAGACCAGACGCGCATCGCCGCGAGAGGGAATTCCCTCCCCTCCCGGCGGCGCCAGGCGAGGCGGCGCCCTTTCGACGCTTCGCGGCGTGGCCGCTGGATGGCGCCAGGGGTCTCGTTTGGACCGTTTGTACGCGCCGAGCGGAGGGAGCGCTGCTGCGGTGCTCGGACTTGAGGGCGGCCATGCGGCCATCGCTCGCAAGCCTTTGGGCCCCGGCCTGCGCCCTGCCCGCGCCCTGCCTGCGCCCTGCCAAGCCAGCCGCCCTGGCCGGGAACATATGGTGGCATCTGTTGCTCGTTTTCTGGCCCCATTTCGGCACGGTCTGGCCACGAGATGGTCCGTGGCCTCGCCCGAGGTCGAGCTCAGGACGAAGGTCTTACTCAGCCGCACACTGCTCTCGGTACAAACCCACCGCGGTCCTATCGTCCTCAAAAAGGAGTGACCCCGGCGATACTCCGAGCGCGGGTCACGTTCAATGCCGGCCATATGGACGGCCCCTTGCGCATGGAGTAGCGACGGCGTGACTAACAGCAGTGCGCCAGGACCGACCAAGACGCCGCCGCGGTGTCCTGGGCATGCCCATGAAGCTCGGCTTTAGTGATCCAGCGCGATGGTTCGACTCTCACACCACACGAAGAACGCTGCCATGCGGGTGTTCGAACCCACCGCCACCACCGTCACCGGGGTGTGGCAGAGCGGTGACGGGGATGGTGACCTACATCCTGGCCTACTCGCCGCCGCTCTCGCGCCCTCTCTCGCTCTCGCCGCGCGAGTCAATATTCCCACAATTGCCGCGGTGTACTCCGCGCTACCGCCAGGGCCGCCAGGGCTACCGCGGAGGGCTGCCGGAGCCTCACCCTCCGGAAATTATGATTGTGGACCGAGGTGGAAGTGCGTAGGGCCGTGGCTGGCCGTGGAGCTGCGGTCGGTCGCGGGGTTCAGTCAGGTTCACAGGCGCTGGGGCAGGATGGGGCGGGTTGGGGCTGTGCGCGCGCGGCCCGCAGGCTGTAGCAGGCTGCCGTAGGCCCCTGTGCGGTTGGGCTGGACCGCTGGACCGGGCGCGCATCGGGCCCCTGCCGCACCGCCCCTGCCCCAGCGCCCCTGCCGTTTTCAGCCGCTCCCGTACAAAAATAAATGCCTCTAGAGTGTCTCGAGCCGAGACACTCTAGAGACGTTCTGGAGACGATGTGGAGACGGTCTGGAGACACTGAGGAGGCAAAATCGGAGACACTGTCAAGACGCTTTGGAGACACCGCCGAGACAGTGCGGAGACGTCGGGAGTTTCTCGACACTGTCTCTATTCTGTCTCGAAAAGGAGACACTCTGGAGACGTTCTGGAGACACTTTAGGGAGACGATCTAGAGACAGTGCGGAGACACTGTCGAGACGCGCGGCGGGAGCGCCGGCCGCCTCCCCCCTCCTCCCACGAGACGGCGTGGAGACGCTTTGGAGACATTCTAGAGACACAACTGGCTCCCCTCCAAACAAAAACTGAAGCCGGCGCCGCACTGGGCGGATTCGACCCACAGACTGCCAGCATCACAACACGGATGACTGACGTCGGAGCGCACTCGGCCAAAGTGACGCTCCTTAGAGGAGGTCTGCCGACGCGCATACACATGGTTCGGACCAGCGGCAACACTCTACGCGGCCACCGCTGTCGTTTTACTTAAAAATCTTGGGTCAGCACTATGTCGTTTCTCTGTTTAAATACCCCGTTCTCTGAACGTTCCTTTATTCAAATGCACCGAAAGTAATTACTAAATGAATAACACTGCATGAACTTCACGTGACAGCGGTCGCCGCGTGGAGTGTAGAGTGTTGCCGCTGGTCCGAACCATGTGTATGCGCGTCGGCAGACCTCCTCTAAGGAGCGTCACTTTGGCCGAGTGCGCTCCGACGTCAGTCATCCGTGTTGTGATGCTGGCAGTCTGTGGGTCGAATCCGCCCAGTGCGGCGCCGGCTTCAGTTTTTGTTTGGAGGGGAGCCAGTTGTGTCTCTAGAATGTCTCCAAAGCGTCTCCACGCCGTCTCGTGGGAGGAGGGGGGAGGCGGCCGGCGCTCCCGCCGCGCGTCTCGACAGTGTCTCCGCACTGTCTCTAGATCGTCTCCCTAAAGTGTCTCCAGAACGTCTCCAGAGTGTCTCCTTTTCGAGACAGAATAGAGACAGTGTCGAGAAACTCCCGACGTCTCCGCACTGTCTCGGCGGTGTCTCCAAAGCGTCTCGACAGTGTCTCCGATTTTGCCTCCTCAGTGTCTCCAGACCGTCTCCACATCGTCTCCAGAACGTCTCTAGAGTGTCTCGGCTCGAGACACTCTAGAGGCATTTATTTTTGTACGGGCTCCGCCACAGCCGCACCAGCCACTCTAGCCACTGCACAGTGGGCCAGAAGACTGGTGGAGGCGGCCAAAATTCTGGACGCGTTTTGAGCTCCAGAGTCGCTAAAGACGACTCGAACCGAGCGTGTGACCCCACCAATGGATTGCTCTTCGTGTGAGGAATCCATTGGTGGGGTCACACGTTCGGTTCGAGTCCTGTTTGGCGACCCTGGAGCTCAGAGCGCGTCAAGAATTTTGGCCGCCTCCACCGGTCTTCTGGCCCACTGCGCACTGCGCCCTGCTGCTCCAGCTATCCGCCGGACATCCCGAGCCTGTCGAGGCGAGGGCCTCGACGGGTCTGATCGATTTAAAAAAGGAGAGGCAGCGAAAGAGTCCTTGTTTTGTGCGAGCTGTGCCTCCACTGTCGCCGGAGGGCTCGGTGCAGGGCTCGTTGTGGTAGGGCTGTTTGGGCTCGTGCAGGACTTGCTAGGGTTCCCGGCAGGACACCCAAAGGTTCGCTTAAAGCTCACTTTGGGGCTCGGGAGGGCTCGCTGAAGGAACTCGCGTCGGGCAGGCCTCCTCGTCCTCCTGTTCCTCCTTTTCCCCGGCCGGCCGGTCTCTCAACGCCGTTTATTATCCCAGCTGCTGTCCACTTCTGTTTCTCCGGCTCCTCCCCTGTCTTTGGCCGGGCTGGCGTGTGTGCGCGTGCGGTGGCGCGCGTGTGAGTGCGCTTACGGGTGCGTGTGTGAGTGCCGGCGCGCGCGCGCGCGTGTGTGTTTCTGAGAGATTGGACACGCCACGCAAGGCTGGTCCAGGAAGAGGCTTGGTCTGCGCGAACTGGGCGGTGCTACTCGGTCCGAAATAACGGCATCCACGTCACTTATAACGGAAGCTCCCACACTGGAGAGAGAGGGCCAAAGAGAAGAAAACAGAAGCCGGGAGCAACTCGCCCGAAAGATTTCCCCGAAAACGTACCGCCGCTGTTGGGGGAGGCCGCACGCTTCTCAGAATGGTCGTTGTAATTGCTCTGTAAAACACGGCTGACTTCGCGAGGGTGGCGCCGTGTTACGGTGTACCGGGCAGCGGCCTCCGGACTGCCGTGGCTCCGGACCAGCCGGACTACCGGACTAACCGGACTGGCCGGACTTCGGCGGCATATGGCGCGGCATGTCATGGCAGCGCGCGGTGGCGGCGCCACGACTGCGGTCAAGTGCAGGACGCGGCGGGGCGGGGTGGTGCGGGGGGGGGGGGGGGGGGGCGGGGCGGGGGGGGGCGGGGCGGGGCGGGGA